GGTAAATAAAGTAGTTAAATTAAACACAATAAAATAACCCAATGGTTAAAATAAACTTGCAGGTTAATTTATATTGGTTATATAACCAATAAGTTAAAGCATATTTTAATAATTTGTTTTATTCCAAAAAAAACAAATTATTAAAATTATTAAAATATGCTTTAACTTATTGGTTATATAACCAATATAAATTAACCTGCAAGTTTATTTTAACCATTGGGTTATTTTATTGTGTTTAATTTAACTACTTTATTTAATATATTAAAACAAACCAATAATAAAACATCATATTATTTTATGTTTAAAAGTATTTTATATCAATTTCAAACGAAATAAATAAAAAATAAGCGAAACAAATATTTTTTTTAATTTTTCTTTTCTTTATTTCTTATTTTTTTCAAAGCGCATTTAAAATATAAAAGTACTATGTATTATGTACTACTTCATCAGAAAAAAAATGTCTCAGTGGTTTTTCCATTGAAACTATCAATACCTATACTGCCCTATAGTATACTATGGAGAAAGGCAGTAACTGCAAAAAAATTAAAAAGGCAATTTTTTTTATTATGCTTATTTTCCACAAATTTCTTGTTTAGCAGTTACTGCCTTTCTCCATAGTAGGGCAGTATATCAATTGATATATATTAATATTCAGGGACGAAATTTTATTTGAAGGATCTGTAAGTCATATCTATAGATATACATAACCATATTTGGTAAATTATAATATTGTTCTAAATTAAGTTTTATTTATCAAGTCACACCTATTCTTAACAGTTTTGTTTTTGGTTCACCTCGATATATTTATTTTTGTGGAAAATATGGATTTTTTTTAAAAACATTGCAATTTCCAATATTTTTCTGTATGAAGAACTATGGTTGCTATAGGCTATGGAGGATGACAGTGACAGTTTTGTTGAATCATCCCATACTTGGACATGTCATACACGGCTTTCAAAAGCTATCAAATTGTTTTTTGCAAATTAATGTTTAAATTTTCAGGTGTCTTCTTACTTTACAAAATGCATATGTCTCCGAATGATGTTGCCAGAGCCATTAATTTAATCCAGGATGGACGGTCACAGTATTACTTGGCAAGTGTTTTAAACGTCACAAGAAGTAAAGTACAAAGGGCAACATCAGTCGAAAACATTTTTAAAAGTAAGAAGACACCTCAAAATAATTTTTTAATTATTAACACATTAATTTACAAAAAACAATTTGATAGCTTTTGAAAGCTGTATATGACATGTCCAAGTATGGGATGGTTCAACAAAACTGTCAATGTCATTCTCCATAGCAACCTTAGTTCTTCATACAGAAAAATATTGGAAATTGCAATGTTTTTTAAAAAAATCCATATTTTCCACAAAAATAAGTATATCGAGGTGAACCAAAAACAAAACTGTTAAGAATAGATGTGACTTGATAAATAAAACTTAATTTAGAACAATATACGGTTTTGCCACTCTATAGAGAAAAAAAAATGTTTTTTATCATAAGTTTAAGACACTCTGTATACAGAGTGTCTTAAACTTATGGTAAAAAACATCTTTTTGTTTAAACCTGTATATTATAAACGTACGTCTATTTTTTAGTATTTTTTTTAAATGTGAGCGATTGCCCATTAATTTATCTACAATATTCTTTAATATTCGTTTAAATCCGACTAGAGTTACCGCGAGACGAGACGAGACGAGATAAGGCCTTGTCTCGTCTCGTCTCGAAATTTCGAGATAAAATTTTTCGAGACGAGACGAGACAAGTTCGAGACGAGACGAGACAAGGCCTTATCTCGTCTCGTCTCGTTTTGTCTCGTTTGTCTCGAATTGTTTTGGTTTTTTGGTTTATCTCAATTTAATTTTGAATTATCGGATAAATTCAATAAAAAATGTCTTACTCAAAAAACAAAAAAGATGTAAGCTCTTAAAAGTGGGATAAACTAAAATGATAACGCAGTTATTCGCCTCACTCTCAATAGATCCACGTCACAAATTGGAAACCTTTTCAATGACTTTCTGTGGTGCAGAAATGAAAAATAAATCATACTAAAAATTTGAAACAATTTATTGTGAAAAATACGCACCAACTAGGCCAATTCCACCTATACAAGAAACTGAAGAACAATCTGGCTCAGATGAAGACATGGATATTGAATTTTTATTCAAAAAGGCTACTCCTCAATCCGAAACTGAAGAGTTTTGAAAAAAAGAACTAAACGCATACTTTTATTCAGAGAGAGAGCATCAAAAGGGGAAATATTGATGGAATGGTGGAAAAGAAATGAAGTAAATTATCCACACATTTCAAAGATGGCAAGAGACCTATTAAGTATTACCGCAACAAGCGTTCCTTCAGAACGCCTTTTTTCAAAAGCTGGATTAGTAGTCACTGAACTTCGGAATCGACCTAATGCTGAGTCGGCTCGTTCATTATTATGTCTTAATTCATGGTACACTTGTAGGTACGTTAAAAGATAAGCTAAACTTTGATTAGCGAAACTTACCTATTCCTATACTTACCCCATGCAGTAATACCTAAATATTTTTTAATGATTTAGGATTTTTTTTAGTTACCTATTTCCCTGTAATGTGATATTCGTACTAACAATGTTAATGATATATTTAATATTTATTTTCAGTTTAGAGTTTATTGATTTATTTTGTTTATTATAAAATACATTTATTTGGTTTCTTTTTTACAGTTTATTTTCTATAAGGTATGTATGTATGTCCTCGAAAACACCATGCAGTTTTTGAATAAAGGTTTTATATTTTATTACAAGTTTTATTTTAACAATTTATATGCACGTATTACCAGCTCATACCCTATAATGCTGTTTTTTGCTAATTCTGAAGTTAAAAACAATTATTAAAACTTAAATGCTGTTATTATCATTCGTTTAAAGCGTATTAAGTCATTAAAATATTTCGAATATGTCTCGAATATGTCTCGTCTCGTCTCGTCTCGCCTTGTCTCGAAGGATGTTATCTCGTCTCGTCTCGTCTCGAAATTCGAGACAAAATGCTCTCGAGACGAGACAAAATGGCTTCGAGACGAGACGAGACGAGACGAGACGTCTCGTGTCTCGTGTCTCGTGGCACCTCTAAATCCGACATCAAATAAAAAAGTTATTTGTGATTGAAATTCATCGAAAATTTGAGTGGATCGATTATTTTGCCTGTGAGTGTAGTTTAAGTTGACTTAAGAGTTAAAGCGTAGTTAAAACAGGGGAAGATAAACCTAAAACTACCAAACATTAACTTCTTTTTAACCAAACATTAACATTAACTGAGATGTTAACATTAACTAACATAACTTTAATGTTAATTTAACGTTACTTAAATGAAAACACCCTGTAAATCATTGAAAATTGTTGTCACACAATCATTTACTGCATACCTACCCCTTTGATTTAATTACCAAATAAAAAAATCAATTTTAGCAATAACAGATGTTGACAGTATACGTAGTAAATTGAGCAGAGTGTATTGTAGGCATGGCCTGGTAAATAGGTTTGTGTATACGCGTCGGTAATGCAGATAAATGTGTTATCATCTGAAGGGGCGCAACAATGGAAAGGAAGCGTGACAAATTGTTTCGTATTCCCCGTCCGATTAATCCGATAGTCAGCATCAATGTAATAGATCCGAAATTAGATAGGAGTCCTGTGTACGTCTATAGATATATCTATAGGCATACTCTTGTATAATAACAAGCATAATTGAAAATCGATGCCAATTACCCGAGATATATTGCTGATTTATTAATGATCGCTGAGAATTTGGCAAAATCGTTTTATATGTAGAAGCGGAGCGAATCGATGCCTCTGGATAGCGAACGAGATAACAGGATAATTGCTCTACTGGGAATTTTATATTCATTGCTGATAAATAAAAGTAGCGTGAAAACTTTTCTTGATCATTTTGAATAAGTTATAAATGCTTCCATAATATCCACAACTAAGCAGGTCTCTTTTTAATTAACCCATCTTTGTTTAAAAGATAATAATGTCTAAAATACAGCATCAACAGGCTACAACAAAAGTACCACAACTGGTTAAATTAACGTTAAATTTGCGTTATGCTTTTGGATTTTTTTTCATTTTATTGTAAAGGTAGGTAATGCAAAAATTTGCTAAAGTCAATTTTCTGAATATTTACAAATTATTTATATTTATTATTATGATCAATATAGGTAATAATTGAATGGGTGAGTATAAGAACATTATGTGTCCAAAAATTTGATTTTGACAAAGCACTTTCTAAAATCAATTTAAAAGTTTAAAATGCATTTTTCTGAGAAGAAAATATAATTATTATATTTTATATGAAATATATGAAATCCTCTCACAAAAATGCATTTTGAACTAAAAAATTGTTTTTATAAAATAACTTATGTTTTATTGGACACTTTCAGTTATAAAATTATAATTTTTTAATTTAATGTATTATTCTGTAATTGGATATTTTCAATGGACTTCTTTTTGCATAAGGGTGAATATTGAGTCCCCCAAGTGAAAATGATTATTTTTTATTTTTGGTTGCTTCACTGTTAGTCTAGAATGGGGTTTTTGGGAAGCCACCAGGTCTATAGTAATAGCATAACATAAGTGGTTCTGTACTAATGCAAGAATATTAAGAAATCATACATTTTGAATATTAGAGCTTCACGGAAGATAGCTTCACGGAGGATAGGATTTCGTATGTTTTTTTAAACATTCCTTTGTATACACAACAGAACCATTTTTAGATGGTAACATCTTTTTTATGCGAACATATTTTTCACAACCAGGAAAATTTGGTTGAGTTTGTAATAATTTCAAATAAAAAACTGGAAATAATATATTTAAAACGTATATTTCTTAATAATAAATTAAGTAAATTATTCTATTTACAACACTTTGTACAATACATAAATAATACATGAAAACCTTTATTTCCAAATAATTAAAGCTGATAAACCTAACATTACCTATACAAAAAGTTATAACAACGAATTTACGTTTCAGATTTGTACGGTTTGAACAGTTTGGGCTTCGAAGGAACTTGCGTTTCGGGCGAAACCCTGGCCACTGGTATCAGAAGGCCTTCGTGTTGAGCTGGTGGAGACAAGCTGATGTCGGAATGCACTGGCGAGCTGTGAGGCGACAGCTTCTGGTGGTGGTGGTCAAATTTGGGGTACTGAGGAAAGTCGAAGCCTCCCAGGTTGATGTTCAAGCCTTGAGGCAGTTGAGGTTGAGGCACGTTCTGTTGTAGAGGCATGGAAGGCTGAAGTCCTTGTTGGTGCATCTGCGGCACCCCAAAGCCAGAGTAAGGGTGGTACCTAGCACCCATGGGGTAGTGCGGGGGGTACATCGGCGGTGCTGGTGGGTAATGCAACGTGGAGGCGGCGACTTGAAGAATAGAGGCGGCGAATGCTGGGTCGGTGTACACAGCAGCGTATGGCCAAGCGATGGCCATTCTCTGCCTCTTGTCCTTCATGCGTCTGTTTTGAAACCAAACCTGCAACAAAAAACAACATTTAGTATACCAAGCGCTAATTCGTTTAACAACTGAATGAATAAGTTAGTCATCGGCCGCCTTGATCTAAACATTAACACATCGTAAACTGCTTGATTATCTGTGCATTAGCCGCGGTGGCTTGATTGATCTTCTAAAAGCTCAATTAGCGTTTTTATTTGAGCAGGCGATGTGTTAACTTTACTCATACCGACTGATGGAGTTGAAAACAAACAATTACCTTGATTGTGCTCTCCGGCAGGTTTAATTGGGTGGCCAATTCGCACCGTCTAGGGCGAGACACGTAGTTTTCCTTGTAGAATTCCTTCTCCAATCTCGCTAATTGCTCTCTGGTAAACGCGGTCCTGTATCTGCGAATGTTGGGGTCGTTTACCGATGATGGGCTTGTCGGGGTGTTCAGTTTGGTTTCAGATGGTATAGGGCTGGCACAATCTACAATAAATTACCTAATTAGTAAACTCCGGAAATTTTCAAGTGCTCTCTAAGTAGCTAATTTAGGATGTAGGAAGAGCGACTAGACCGCTCAAGTGCTACACGTGTTATTTGGGGTTAGCGACGGTAAAACTCAAGGCGTCGTACTTCCTGTTCTAGCGAAAGGAGAAGACATTTACCTTTTCTGTATTGCTGATTGGTGTTGGGAGATTGTGGTGGACTGGGTTGTCCGTGATGCATGTTATAGTGTGGCGGTATGACATCCAAAACCACCGCCGAACTTTTTTGGTCTTGCTGATGGTACATCTTGAAATTTCCGTGGTTATGCATATGGATAGAACAAATCACAGAACACTTTGGTCACAAATTGCACTTGTACACACTATTCAAGGGGCTAAGGGTGACTGATGCTCTTGCCGAGGGGTGCCCACTCTTTATACCGTGGACTGGGTGACTAGGTGAGATGCGGAGTGGGCGTGGCCTGGCGCAGTTCCATTGGGCTGCGGAGGAAGAGCGTTCATTGGCTCCGCAAGCATGTGCGCCTAATGCAGACTTCACGCAAAGGCGAAATTCCTTTGCCGCCGTCCTTATGGAACGTTATTAGATGTCTGAATGCATTAAGGCGGATGTTCCGCGGCGTTATTAACTGATTTTCTGGCCCCGCTTCACGCCATACCGCTTATTCCGTATTGATTATATTTTTATTGTTCCATAAAGATGCTTTAGCAACTTAATTTTATGTCCCAGACACATAATACACCTGAACCTTACAAAAAACAATTTAATTAAACATTAAATATCAATTTTAAACTTTCTTGCGTATGATGATGACATGGAGGATTATAAAACGATTATTTTTAATAGAATTATAATAATTAATCTTTTAAAATTTAATTTACCTTATGCAGTTGAATGCAGTTTCGGTGCATATAACTTTTAATTCCCTGTTACTTACCTAACAAATTTTTACCTAGGTAATTTCAGATAAATGCAATTTTATAACACCTTGATAATCAAGACGGTGCATATTGCAATAAGCCGACTTGGATTTTCATTTTGAATTTTACCTCTTGATGCAAATTATAAATGTTATAGTTTATTGATGAAATATGTAAGCCGATTTTCGAAATAATTTACTTTTAATTAATAGGTACGATACCGAACTTCAAAACAACACATGTCCAGTATTATCCAATATTACACTCAGAGAAATATCATGTCATGAAAAGCATATGAAATTACATAATATATATTAATTTAAATAATCGGGTAAATTTGATTCAAATAGAAAAAATTGTAGTTTTAGGTATATTCATTTACCAACAGTTTTACAATGTTTTAAAACACTTTTAAAGTGTAGGTACTCTCTTTAATAGTATATTATGTATCAAGTTTTATAAACGCCATTTTAGTTACGAGTTTAATTAAAAATGAAACAGTGGATTTTCACTGATTGACAGTGCATATTAACTATTTGCCGCAGTGATAAGTATACCACTAGCAATTAGTGAATACTCACTTTTTCATGTAGCGATTTCTTTGCACTAATTTATTTAGTGGAAATTACACTGTACAAATTAGTGAAAAAGGTTTAGTTCAAAAAAGTTAAAATTTCATTATTTTATGTCGAGAGTTCCGGAAAAGTAGTTATAATAAAAAACACTAATTTGGAGAAGTTAAAATTTCACTAATTTATATTGAAAAACACTAATTTTACAGTAAATAATAAATCACTGACGAAAATAGTGAAAATTTCACTGTTTCACTTTTAGAGAGGAGTAAATTTGTGGTTTTTTAAACTTAAAATGCTGATTGGGAGTGTAAAGACAAATATTTTTATAACACATTAAAATTAAAAGTTAAAATGTAAGCACTTGAGCATATAAATTTGCTGTGAATAATCAAGTGTAAAGCGTTTAAAAGATAAACAGATCAATTGCATGTAGGAGCAGTTTGTTTGTAAAATATTTGCGACTTCTGTAGGTAAAGCATTCGTTCCGGGCGGCAATAAAGAATGGATGGAAAGAAGAAAAATTCACAGGAAACGCTACTAGAACGAATGGCCCGAACTAAAATAAACATACACAAAGAGTCTACCTATTGTCCGAGGAGTATAAATATTGCTCAAACCATAATAATTAAGTGTAACGCTGTAAAAAGTTTCTTATTGCCCTCGTTTTAGTACTGATTGCTACCGTGAGGAGAATTATTGACAGTTTATGGTACCATTACGGGAATGATTAAAAATTTAGACGTTTATTGGGCTTACTGGGAATTTTCAAGTTTTGACCAAAGTAGTTCAAAAATTAGGATTAATAAAGATGCATAATGTGTCAACAAAAGTTATTACCCATTTTACTTGAAACTTTGAAATATCTCAGTTTGTATGCAATTTACGAAAAAATGTTTAAAATAAAAATTGAATGATTCTAGGGGGGGAATCAATCAGTACTAAAATTGGTCCTCATACTCTCCTCCTTATAGGGGGAACAGGGGGTAACTTTAAAATTTCCAATAGAACACCCTATTTTTTATTGCAGATTCTAATCATTCGACTAAAAATAGGTAGATTTTGTCAAAAACATTTTTTCATATTTGTAATAGATGGCACCGTAATGAAAAAATCAATTTTGTTCGATTCTTCTTCTGTATACAATTCTGTAATAATTTTTCTATAAAAATATCACTTTTTTCGTAATAATTATCTTATTAAATTAAATCTGATTTTTTAAGTACCTATAGGTATACCTATGGGTATACCCACGATTTTTTAACTAATATTTAAGTTTCCTTTGGTTTAAGTTTTATACATTATTTCATTGGGTGATAATTATTAATTGCGCACCATGGTCACTTTTTACCTGCCAGCATTAAATCCTTTAATTTAAAGGATTATTGTACTATTTTAAATAAAATTACCTCATTTAAAATAAAAAAACATTATTTTGTCAATTAATTAATTTAATCCTTATTGAGGTATTAAAAATGGTATTTATTTATACATAATAATTATTATTGAGGTATAAAGAAACTATTTATAGTTTTCAATTTAGTTCGAAGAGTAATTTGCAAACAAAAAGATCTCCTTTCGTTAAGCAGTTATTCCTAATGGATTTTTTAACAGTGGAAGAAAAAATAGAAATGATTTTGATTTATGGAGAAGCAGGCAGGAATCTTGATGATGCTGTTAATATCTGCGCTCAGCGTTTTCCGGAAAAAATTCGATCACGTACTTCATTTCACCGCACAGTCAAGCAGTTTACTCCAAACGGGAGTGTTCAACCGAAAAAAAGATTTCGTCGAGCAACAGTCACAGGTGGAAATAAGCAACGGCCGCTAATCCTCATGCAAGCACACGAGAATTATCTAGAGATTTGGGAATATCCCAGAGCAGTGTTAGCAGAATATTAAAACGAAATGCGAATTAAAACCAAGTATTTTATTCAAAAATTATTGGAGAATCGTATACAGAAGAAAAATCGAACAAAATTGATTTTTAAATAATAATTTATTTCTAGATTCTTAAAAAAATTGCACTTTACTACCTAGCGAAATTTCAAAGAATCCCGTTTTATACTTTGTAAGCCTTTTTAACCCTTAAACCACCAATAAAATTATAAATTTTCTAACGGTTGGATGGCAATTTTTTTTCGAAATTTTATAGTCAAACAATAATGCAATATAACAGTAAACAATTTCAGCGACATAACTGTAAACCCTTTGCCAAACAACCCTACCACTTTCTACAATGGTCAAACTTTTTATTTTCAAGCCTTTCCTTAACCCTAAAATAAAATTTAAGCAATGTTATAACGGTTCAATTGCAATTTTTTATAACGCTGTAAACAGTTTTTGGCGAAATATTTCGGAATTCTGTAAACCCTTCTAGCCCTATAAAAGCTGTAAATTTTGTCGCTATGAAAGTGAAAGTTTCTGAATTGAAATACAGGTAGATAAATAAATATACATGGAGTTTAATATATATATTAGGGCGCTTCAAAAAATAAAATTTAATTTTTTTTTGCTCTTACCATCTCAAATGTTTCTATTTAATATAAAAAAAAAATCCTCACCAAATATGGGCGTTCCAGCTCAACTCTAAGAGGTCGCTGTTTTTATTTTAGTTTCCCATTTAATTAACATGGGAAAAAATAGTTTTATGTTTTTATACCTATGTATCAAAGTAACTTATGGAAATTATCATTGCAGTTTCTTATATAAAATGTAACGCTCTACAAAAAAGGTCTCTTATTATTTTCCGATAAATTGATTTCTTCTAGAGTTATTCGAGGTCAAAGTTTAATAACATCAAATTTTCTGTTTTTTTTTTAATTTATTTAACTTATCCTAACCAATTGTATTACAAAAAAAAGATTAAAAATACAAAAACAAATTTTGTATTGAACAAATAACAAAAATTGTGAATTTCTCTGAGAATAAACTTTACGGTCAATTAGACTTTAAAAAGAAATAATAGGTTTTTATTAATTAATCAATTATAGCATTCATTTTTAATTAATATTTATGCTTGATTGTTTTTCTCTAATCACTCGACTGCAGAAAAAAACGTAATTACATGAAATTGTACTGATAAACAATTAAAAATCCTTATTTATAAAAATTTTGGTACGAAAATCCTGAAAATTTCATAAAACGCTTTATATCTCAACAAATATCATTCTTAGCGATTAAACTGATAAGACCTTTTTTAAAGAAAATTAAATTTTCTACAAGTTTGTCCTTTACATTTTTTCAAAGAATCCAGCCACTTTTGAAATATCTTCAAAAACATGAGAATTTAACACTAAAATAAGATTCAGTGACCCGTACCATCAGGTGCAGATTACAGCTATGGCACATTTTTGTAGAACTTTTGATTTTTGAAACAATCCAATAGCATAAAATGCGGCTGAGATATAGATATTTAAATAAAATAATCAAAGTTTACGTGTATTTTAAATGGGAAATCTTTATACGCTTTGGTAGAGTACTTTGAGTTAATATTAAGGGCTCAAATTTTCAGGGAATTTTTTTTGAACATTTTGAACAAGATTTTAAGTTGGGAGCGAAAAAATAAAAATAGTCGTGAAAAAAAGCAGCCTAGTATATATATGTCATTTTGAGCAAGTTTTGTAATGGATTATAATTTATATTGCGATTTAGGAATTTATCCAGATTTCAGGTTTTTGATATTTGGTACATTTTTGGACAATTTTTACAAAGCAGGGTCATTTTTATAAATGGGTAATGACTTGAATCTAATTTTTAAAAAATACCAAAATGTAATATTACCTCAAGAAGATTTATTGCGTAAAATAGTATTCGGTCCCTATTATAAACCAATAAAGTTCTGTCACTTTTATTTGGGGTTTGTTTATTAAATTGGTTGTATCATATTGCATAAAGTTATTTCAAAGATTGACCCTTTCTTGGTAAATCCTTTCGGTATGTTTACCTACAGATAGTTACGAAATGTTGTTACTATAGTAGCTACCTACAAAAATAAACTATATACAAAGCTACAATGGAATATAGTGCTTGTTTAAAAAAAACCGCGGAAGAAATTTAATTTTATATAAATTTGTTGATATTTATTTGAAATGGTGTTAATATTCTTTTAATTTTAACACTAGTGTTTCCATTCGTACCACCTAAGGTACCTTTTTTATTTAATTTTTAGTCTTATTGGGACAAAACCTACGATTTGACAAAGTAATGAGATTATTTTTATTCACACAATAAACTTTTTTTACTGTTAATAAAATTCTCATTTACTATAATGAAGCAGCAATGTTGAGCTTTATAAAAAAATGTTCATCCAACAAAGTAATAGTTGTTATCATATTGTCATGGCAATAAGAAATACTTTATGTTTATATTAAAACTTTGTCGAACTTAAAATGTTTTTGTTAAATCTATAGTTGTGTGAATTGCGCTTACATAAAGTAATGCGCAGTTGTTATAGTAAAATTTGTTCATTTTACTATGGCATATTTGTCTTTTTTAAATTACTATCCTTGTAATTCAAATTAATTTTATTTCAGTTAGAAAATCTTTGTTAATAGCTTACGTTAAGAGCAATAACAAAAATATTTTATTGCTATAAAAATTAATATTTACTATTGTTTTGCAATGTTAACAAAATTTTTCTTATTTCCCTTAAAAAAAGGGGGAAAGGGCCAGCGCTCTCCTTGGTGAACATAACTTTATAATCCACAGTCTGTGTTATAATCTTATTGATTTCACTTGTGCGAGTGAAGTGTGGTAAAATCTTGCATGATAAAAGTATCAAAAAGATCACTAAGAAAATTAAAATATCGACGTTTTCTAAAAGAAATATTTAAGGTCTATTCTATAAACGAAGCAGACTTGTTTAAAAAGTGAGTTCATATTTTTTTATTTTGTTCATTCAGAGTTAATTTTTTTGTTATAATAAATAATTTGTTTTAATGCCTTGCAATTATTTAAAAAAACTACCCAACACCCAACAGTATGTTAAAAATGTGACCATTGTTACAATAAAAATAGTATAATGAATAAACAATTAATTTGTTGTTAAATTTACATAAATTTTATTAATATTATAAAAAAAGTATTATTTTAAACGAAAAGGGATTTGTAAAATTTACAAAATTCCTATAAATGATACCATTGAGTTTCTACAAACTGTTTTTTTGAACAAATAATAATAACTATAGTTATAGTTATAGTTATATATATATATATTTATCAATGCATTTCTGCATCTGAAAGAATTTTTTTAAACAAGCAGCGTTTGTAGATGAATAATTTTTTTTAAATAATCTTTTTGCCCTAACAAAAGCAATTGTTGGATGAATAGGGATCTTTACTTTATTAAGACAAACTACTTTTTTTGTTATATTTATTAAAGAAATTTGCCAGTCAGAAATTGGCGCTTTCTTGGCAAATGGATTGACCGAAGAGGACCGTTAGAGTGGCCCCCAAGATCACCAGATTTAAGCCCTTGGACTTTTGTTTATGGGGATACATTAAGTCGTTATAACGACTAACTATAGTATAACTATAGTTTATCAGACTCCAGAAACTTTTGAAGAAGTACGAAAATAGTTTGATAATTGTCTTTACTATTGTCTTCAAAATAATGGAGAACATTTTGAACATTTCATTTATTAATATGTAAAATATTTTACATTACAATGACTATTAATTATTGCACCTGTTTAAATGCGTTTTTTATGAAAAATCCAATAGAAAATCTACAACAATTTTTTTAAATGACTGTAACTAACCAAATGTTATGAAGTACAAAGTCAATGACTTGGAATAATAAAAGCGCCAAAATGTATTTCCAAAAATCATAAATTCTTCCCAACGAAAATATTCACTTTTACTTTTACAATTGCCATAATTTCGCAAGTTTATTACGTAAACTCTTTGCAAGGCAGACTAGTTTTACGACTTTAAATTAGGGTTTAATAAGTCGGCACGGATTATTGCACAAAAGTTGGGCAAAATGTTGACCCTTTTCCAAGTACACCCCTTTAAAACTCTTTCACAGATTTATTGGTCCAGTTTTGCATTTTATTGCGTAAAAACTCTTTTTCAACCAGGTAGCTCCACTAAAGAAAGATGTTATGCAAAATGATTGCAGATTAGCGTTCCTAGAAAGTCAAACATGATTTTGTGCTATAAAAGTCTAACCTTGTAGATTGTATACTAAAATCATTATTTTTTAATATTTATGTTGACAAAAATGCTGAAAAATTGTTTTGATAATAGTTATTGGACACTTAAGGAATATTATTTATTTAAAATTTATATATGCCGTTGTTTTAAAGATTTAACTTTTTTTCTTATAAATATATAAAAAGGATAGTTTGTTTGTTTAAACTTTATTTACGTTTACTTAAAAATAACAATATTCGAGTTTTTAATATTAGTTTTATAAAAACATACAAACAAGTAATTGGACATTATATATAGTAATTGGACCTATGGACCATAGTTATTGGACATGCAATTTTTATATAAACATAACAACTTTACATCAAAAACATAAATTGTTAAATATTTTTTAAAGAGAAAAATATAATTCATATATTTTTTCTCGGATTCCTCATCTCTTTTCTGGATTCTAATTCCTTGGTCTGAAATAGTTTGTTGTAAATATATGTAATATTTAGTTTGTTAAGCATTTATAATGTTTAGGCCGGAACAGGATGATTTATATATATCTAATATTTTTTCGGGTGGTGTGTTAAAAGTATTTTCCGAATTTATTAATTTTGTTGCCATTAGTTTTTTATGTTCTCTATCATGCACTGTATTTAAATCACTGTTATTCTGCAAGATGTCCTGTGACGAAGAAATCACTATATTACTTACTCTCTAAAAATGAATTAGTCAAAAATGTCATAGCGAAAAAGCAGCCACTAATAATTCTCGTCAACAGCAACTTGTATCCAGGACATTTAGCAGTCAATTCCTGAAATATTATTCGCTGAATCCGAAAATGTCGTTATAAAAGTAGAACAGTTTTTGAAATATAATCAATTTTACATATAATATGGAATTGACTATATTTCAAAAACGGCTTAACTTTTATACTTTTTGACGGTCTTTTCGGATTCAGGGGACAATTTTACATAAGAATTGTCTGGAAAATGTCTGGGATACAAATAGAGTATGAAATTAGACATATGTCCAATAATAGAAATTTACATTTTTCAGCAACCAGTAATTGGACACTGGTCATTTTACTGTTTGTTTTCAGAATTAAAATTAAAACGCATTAAAGAGACAATGTTTAAATCATGAGGAACACATTTATACCACACACTAATCTGTACAATTTTTAGAAATATTTTTTATTGTAATTAAAATACAGCTTAAAAGCTAAATCCTAAATTTAATTTAGTTATGTTTAATCAACCAAAAACATAATATTTTAATTTATCTCTATTTATTTTAAACACCATGTAATAGACAGTGTATTGTCAAAAAAATGAACCTACAAAATATTTTCTTATACAATTTTATATTACTTAATTTTTACGTTTCCTGCAACCTTGTGACCAAATGTGTTCCGCAGGATTTGACACAAAAAGAAATATCATTAAGATGTTGTGCTAATAACGAAAAATGTTGCAAAGATAATCAAAACCCAAGTAATTTTGAGGTTAAAGCCGTTTTGGTGAAATGTCCAAAACCAACGCTAAAGCCTATGAAGCCTAAGCCTGCAGCAAGAACAAAATTAGGGTAATATATGAAATAAATAATTATATACGAGGTGTGTTCAGAAAATATCGGGAATTTTCGTTTTTTGAAAAAATATTTATTTATTTGTCTACATTAATGTTGTCGCCTTCAAAATAGTCCCCATTGGATATTATGCACATGTGCCAGCTCTTCTTCCAATACTCGAAACACTTCTAAAACTCGATCTTTGGGATAGCCTTTAGTTCTTTCAGCGATGCGCTTTTAATGTCATCTATGCTTGCAAAACGACGGCTCTTTAAGGATCTCTTTCATTTTGGGAATAGGAAAAAGTCAGACAGAGGCATGTCTGGCGAATATGGAGGCTGGGGCATCATTGTAGTATTGTTTTTGGCCAAAATTTTCTTCAAAATTTAACAAATTTTGCTGCCACGCGTTTCATACCCAAAACATTCGAAAAAATTTCATGGGATGAGCCAATCGATATACCAACATCATCAGCGACTTCTCTGGTGGTTTATAACCATTTCTCCCACTTTTTCCATGTTTTTATGGGTTGTTAATGTGCTTGTGCGTTCGGGGCGTTCGTCATCTTCAACGTCTTCACGGCCATCTTGGAAACTCTTATACCACTTGTAAACTCTTGTTTTACTTATAGCACCTTACTATAGGCCTTTGTTAACATTTCACAGAATTTATTTCATTTTTTAAGCAAAATTGGATACAAATTCTTTGATCCATTTCTTTTAACGAACGAAAATCGTCGAGCTCATAAAAACACGTCTAACCTTAGCGGCTGCCACAGACAAAGTAAACAATGAAAACAGCTAAAGTTTTTATCATACTTCGGGGGCACGTATACCAACATAATAAATAAAATTTTATGACAACCGGACCCTCCCAACCCGCGAAATTTAACAATTCCCGTTATTTTCTGAACATACCTATTTTAATAATTTTTCCAGAGGTCCGCCGGCAGAATGTCACCACAGAATGAAAAGGCACGAGGAGGCATCCGATTTAAACTGCAAAATGAAAATCAAATTAACAGTAAAAATATTCAATAAAGGCATCACAAACACAAAAAATCAATACATTATAATAGACCATGTTTTTGATGAATTAACTGAAAAGAAACAAAGATTACTAACGCCTTATGTGATTAAAATTAAGCAAATGCCCGTTCTCCAGATGTATCCTCTACATTTTGAGCATTTGGTAAATTCCGCTGTTAGAGAGAAGATTTACAATAAAAATTGCAAGCAGTTCAAGGGTTGCAGTACTGACCCAAACAACAACCCAACTTGTAAGGTATGAGTACAAAAAAAATCTTGATAAAAAATGAACAACATTTAACTATACAGTGACCGGCAAAATCATTAAAAAATGTGACATTCATCACGAATTTCAAGTCTTCAAAATTTGTATAGGACGAACAAAAATGCCAACCAAAACTGATAGCATATTTTGATTATAGACTTTTTTGGTAACACTAACATGTATTTATCAAAATCCCAGCTGATCCTATTTTAAAGTTTTGCAAACTTTTTTGTTTTTCTATTTCTATATATTATTTTGCAATTATTGTACTAAAACTACCTGTCCAATTTTAATAAAATTAAGCAAAATAATAAACTTTATATCATTTAAATTACTTCGCTTCCCAGTATTAATTTATTGAGTCACCTAATATTTTTTACCACTCAAAACAAAACATAACAAAAAAAACCCGAAGATTTATATCTTAAATATTTTTTATAACAAAAAATACTGGAAGTTTGTCTATGAAATAATTACAACTTGCAAATTTTGTAAAACAATAATTAAGGTGGTTAAGAAAAAAATTGCTATACGTTATAACCCAAGTGACATTTTGCTTTAGTTGTTTATTTGATGTATACTTTATAAAGTTAAAAATAGTATTTTAAAATGAAAATTAAACCGAAATTCAAGTTAAGCCATGAAGAAAATCGAAAGAAGGTATGTGCTGGCTGTGGAGACAAAATTGTTTTTGGTAATCGAAAAATTCATAGTTTAGGGCTTCTGAGAAAATATAAAAATTACTGCAGACTTTTTCAAACGAACACTTTAACTTAAGTGATTCAAAATTACCTACTTCAATATGGTAAAAACGGTATTTTTCCATAGCCGCAATTGCCAAATTTTCAAAATTTAGAAATTGCTAGAGAATTTCGCGGCACAATGTATGTGCTTTATCTGCAAAATGACAAGATATAAAGGGCATAAAAAATTATTAAGGGAAGAGGACGGAAGCATGTTTGTACAGAGACTGAAGAATTTAAAAATACTGTTTCCATGTTAAAAACAATTCCATGTAAAACCCAAGAAAAAGTTTTACTGAAAATTTAAGGCAAGCAGTAATCGATTTTGCTTCAAAGAATCTTTAGTTATTTATTAGTTTTGTATTAGGTACCTTAAAACAATAAATAAGATATTGCAAACTGTATTTTACATTATTTTGTATTTATAATGTAATTAATCCATATTTCAGTCATGTATCTGCCAAACTTTTAAAAACATTTGATAATGGTATTTTATCGAAATGGCATAAACAATTTTAAAATACTAAGAAATATGCAAAACTTTAATAAAGGATCAGCTGGGATTTTGATAAATACATTTTTGTGTTACCAAAAGAGTCTATAATCAGATTATGCTATCAGTTTTGGTTGGCATTTTTGTTCGTCCTATACTTTAGTTTTGACCACCGTGTGTAGACCTTTGATTTAAGGTAGCCCCATAAGAAATACTCAAGAGGGGTGAGATCTGGAGATCTTGCTGGCTGTTAGATCGGGATCTCCATTCTCATTGCGAAACATTTCTGCTAATGTGTGGAGAAGAGTTTTGCAAAAATTCCATATTTTAGGTTGTTATATACAAAGAGCAAGTAATACCATTTAGCACCGGGTTCTGCTGTTCATGCGATCCCAAGAAAAATCGGGAAATGGAAGAAATGGAAGGCGAGTGCCAAGCCAAAAGCGCGTTTCCTATAAGACCGAAAACATCGAACCAATCTGACCAAGATGCCGGCACCTCTCAAAGAGATAATGAAAATTATAATAAAAGAGATATACCTGAAAAAATGACATCATCAAAAGATTTTAACTCCAATGATAAAGGTGAGCACAATAAAGCGATAAACGCTTAGCTATAAAAACATTACAAAGTTGTAAATGGATTACGATTTAGTTTATTTTAAATCAGTTTTGCCCTTTTTGCAGGTATTTAACCTTTTTATACATTTACGAGTTAATTTTATTTAAATAATTAGAAATTATTTTACGATGTTTTTCAAAATCCAAAAAAATGTCTGCCCACCATATCCCATTACAATTTTCCCTTGTATTTTGATCCACTAAACACGAAAATCACACTCAATTTTTTTTTCCATGGAAGCGTTTTTGAAATATGAATTTTCAATTTTCGGAGGTGTTTTGACATTTTTGAGTATAGCTTGGAATCTAATTAATCGATTTGGTCAAAGAAGCCCTTAAATTGAAGGTATTTGAGCCCTCTAAAACTTTCTTTTACATACTTTTGATATCGGATAAGTATTTTGACGCTAGCGATTTTAATAACTTAAAAAATTCGTTTTTATAGCAAAAATTGAGGTCGAAAATTTACATATCGTCCTGGGAAAGGTTTATATCAAAAATATAACTCCAGTTTGATTTTTTTTCGTGAAGCTAACATTTTTACAAAAAAAAAACAAGCTAATATTGATAAAAATACATGGAAAAATGCCGAAGTTATGACCAAAATTCAGCCTTTTGACGATTTTTATTTTATTTTTTTTCTTTTATTTTGTAATATGTTTATTCTTTAATAAAAACCTAATTAAAGTGCATAATTTGAGTTTTTACGTACTTTTTTCACCGAAAACACTATTCAAAATTTAAATTTGACATGACTCCACAAACGTGAATTCTTTTGTTTCTCGTGTTGGCACAGTGACATTTTACTGGTATTTTCTGATATTTCAACAAGGTATTTTTGTCATGGATTTATTTAGTTAATAAAAAGTGTAAAATGAGTAAAAGAAGTAGAGAGTTCGAGTGCGTAAATAACCCGGACAATTTGGGCGACGTAAGTGATGAGCACGGAGAACGTTTTCACCAGCAAATGAAGGCTATGGAGCGGCGGTATCACGGATTCTGGGATGCAGCCATGATGGGTGATTATATTTGGTCACTCATACGAGAAAAGGAATACGAAAGCAACAAAGAACACAGAAGGAGCCAGAATTTTTTTAAACCTATTCTCATTTAAACAAAATAAAACTTTCAATATCTTCAATGTTCAATATTTATTGTTTAATATTCAATATATAATTTAATTTCAATATTTAATGTTTAAAATAAAAATCAATATTCAATATTAAATTTTATAAAATTCAATAAAATGAAGAAAATACGTAAAAATTCTCGAAAAACTGAATTTTGGTCTTTCACTAAAAAATTCATAACTTCGCCATTTATCCATGGATTTTTATCAACAGCAGCTTATTTTTTTCCTTTAAGTATAATCTATAGATACGTAAAATAAATCAAACTGGACGATTTCTATCTTTCCCAGAAAGATATGTAAATTTTCGACCTCGATTGTTGTAAAAAGAAAAGGACTTTTTCAACTTCATAAAATCGCCAGTATCGAACTACTGAGCCGATACCAAAACTATACAAGAGAAAGTTTTAGAGAGCTCAATTACCTTTGATTTAAGTGCTTAAGAACTCGAGGTATCCTCTGAAACGTCAAAACACCTCAGAAAATTAAAAAAAAATAATTGAAAAATCATATCTTGAAAACGCTTCCATAAAAAAAATTTTAAGTGTGATTTTCGCGTTTAGTAAGCCAAACTACATAAGAAAATCATAGTGAGACATGGTGGGCAAAATGGCTGTAAACTAGTGTAATTAAACGTTAAAACTTTTTATTTCTATTGACCATTTCTCATGTGGTACTGATGGTACTGACGATCATTGATTTGCTTAGACTACCTATCCCCTTGTTTGACTTCAAGATTCATGATGAATTTATCAGACCATTCCATTTAAATTTCTGTATACATATACTCCCAACCTAACTTATATGGAATCGCTCAGTAATTACGACAAACATAATTACACTAAAAAAAAGTGATTGAATAATTTTCTTTAAACATTTCCAAGAAGCATAACTAATTATTGCTCTATATTTTCCATTTACCTCTCTCAATAATATTTATTAATATATGTATATTGCCTTTTCCACAATCTTAGTATAGTACATTATAAATCAGGTTGTGGTTGTTGCAGTCGAAAGAATGACCTTTTTTGAATCTCTAAAATTATGTTTTTTTTTCTTTTGGTATTGTATCTTTTTTGTCATACACTGTTTAAACTATCTGTGGTGTGAAAAGTAATCTTAAAATGGTGTCAAAATCCAACACCAAGTGGTGTTAATATAACACCATGAATTATGGTTAAAAATGTTTTATACAGCAAACACCAAAAGGGTGTTTATCTAAAAATATTTGAGAAGTGCACCTACACAGAAAAAAGGAATAGTTCATTTAACTATATTAATTTAGTTGACCCATAAGTATTTATTTAAACCAACTGTGGGAAGGTTAATATAAACAAAGATTAGTTTGACGGTACTAAACCAGATAGTTATTTTATTTTTTTTAAATTGGTTAAATTAACCCAGAAAACTTTGGTGAAACCAACCCGCTGTATGGTTCAATTTACTAAATATGTTGTTTGTAAAATAAGAGTTACTTCAACCTAAAGCACTCTGTTAAAACGATTAAAACAATTTGCCGTACATTCCTTGTTGCATAGTGTGTACCGATCGCGGTGTGGATCATGTGATGTTCTTAAATCTCGCCTCTGTTGACTTACATGAAGAGTATATATGCTCAGGTAGTCCTTTGCTTTGGTGTGACACTGCAAGCTGTTTATATTATATATATTTGAAGTATTTTAAGTTGGTGGAACGCACTAAAAACATTATCTCTAGCGAGTTGAAGGTTCAATTTTCTGGAATAATACCACTGGCAATATACTTGTAATGCGTCAAGGAACTTCCTGTTTCCTTTTTTTCTGTGTAGTATGATTTAATTTGACCAAAACACATTATATTTAACACTGAAAAGGAGTTCAATTTACACCAGGTAAAATTTATTTTAATGCTGTGTGAAAGTTAAATTTACACCATTTTAGTATTCGAATTTACATTGGACCAACGAACGATATTTAACACCATTTTGGTTTGTATCGATATAGACCATGTATGGTGTTAATTTGGTGTTAAAATGGTCATGAAATTTTGAACAGTGTGTATTTGTGTTTTCGTTTTCCTTACTCTCTTCATTATCTTTGAATCTTCCCGATTTATAATTTGCCCATACTCTTAAGATATCCTTTATTTCTGTTTTATTTTCATTGTTTTGATTTTGTTCCAGAACATGAATTTGTTGTAAAAGTTTAATTTTTTTTTTCCCCAAACTCTTTCAAATAAGTAAACATATTTTAGGTCTTAAAAACGTGAACCCCCAAATCAGAGGCGGCCAAGACTGTAACGACTGCTTCACCCCGCCCTCGGCCAACAAAGCCACCTACCATCAAAGCGCGCACTGCCTCGACTTCTCCGACCTCTGGTACTCCGTGTACAGAATGAGCGAACCCAGCATCAAACACTCTCTGACCATCGAGCTGTTCGAAAAGCACGAAGAATCGTGCGGCAACACCCACTGGAAAGATTTAACTCTGGCGACGCCACTGCGCGTGGGCACGGAGAAAACTGCGAAGCAATACAATCTGGACGGTACCATGTCGGTGTGGTACGAACCCACGGCCAGCGAGAGCACTCAGTTCAGTTTGTGCCACGAGGCGCAAAGAATTTTGATCCCCGACTCGAACAAAGACGAGATGAGCAACATGCCGCAAATCAAAATGGGAGCGGACGCCTACTTGGTCTTGAAGAAGGAGCAGATCTCCAGGAACGGTAAAAAATGCGACGTAGCGGGAGTCGGGTACGAAGCCTTCTTCAAGCAACCCAACAGATGCGGGGTACCCAGAGATACGTGCCTGAAGAACCAGCCCGAGGATATGTTCCGTAGAGATTACGAAGCTCTAAAGAAAAACAAAAAGGGCTGCAATTTTCTTCGGTTCTTCGGTACCTTACCACCAACTCCAATAATTGAGAAGAGAGAAGACGCGCAAAACAAAACATTACTGATGAACTTTTTGGAGATGCACACGAGCGAGCTATACATCGAGTTTAAAGCGGATCAGAACGTGGTGATCCGACCGGATCTTTTCGCCATCATCACTGAAGTTTACATCGAAGCTACGAGCGGGCGTAGTGCCACCATCACCGTGAAAGTAACCAACTCGGGGTTGGTATCGAGCGTTTACTACGTCGGATTAAGTCAGTGCCCCATGGAGCTACCAGCCTACCTGAACAACCTGATAACGCAGCCTGCTTTGATAGCGCCACAGCACCAGCACATCTTCAACTTGGAAGTCAGCCTTGATCTGCCCAAAAGCGCCTTCCATTGCACCGTGCAGGTTGTGAATGTTAAAGAGGAAGTGATAGCTTACCGAAGGATTAGGATACAGAGTAAAGATAGATGTTTGTGCAGTTGGTATTGTAGTTGCGCTTGCTTCAACGCGGATGGAGGCTTGAAATGCAAAGAGCTGCCTTTGGATGCTTATTTGGGGGCTGGCTTTCAAGGAGGCTTCCCCATGTCGTTGCGCGTTGTTCAGTACACCTTCCTTGACGACATGATTTCCATGATGCTTTACATAATTATATTTTTATGTGTTATACTGCTCGTTTTGGGGTTGATCAAGGGACTTGTGGGTTTGTACATAAACATAAATATAGGTTTGTGGGGGTTAGACGCCATACTCGACTTGCCCAAACCCATGGCCCGTTACTACGAAAGCAGCTTGAGGAATATGAAGGTCCAGTACGATATTTATGGATGGCCTATACATCCCGATACGAAGGAGAGGGTCAGAAACACCGCCATTGTGACAGAACTTTGTCTGAACTTGATTTTTTTCTTCATATTTCCGCTGGCCGTTTGCTGTATTATTTGCAAACGAATCTGGTTCGTTAGAAACAACAATGATCGAGGATATGAGTCCACCCAAACCAACAACAGCGACTTTTGCAAATGTAACTAACTGCTGTAATAAACTTTGTAATATGTATGAAACCCAATTATTTCCATTTCACTCCGGAAGCTTATGAAAATGTAATTCAGGCCATTAGTTCCAAGGCTTGCCGGGTGGCTCAATTGCGGCCAGCTACGAAACGGCATGCGGTTGTTTTCGTTTCGTCGTTGTTTCCCTTCTTCGGCAACTAGATCGTTAATAGGCTTTTCACGGCTTACATGGACTCAGCGAGATGCTGAATGGTGGTTAGATGGAAAACTGCGGTCGATAACGCAGCAGCACAGTTCGGACTTCTCGCCACATTCCAATACATTGTGTACAACCAGTTTGATTAAATCATTGTTCTATTAGTTAAACACACATACAAAATTTGAACGAATATGTAAAATTGTTGAGGCGATGTTCTTTTCTATTTTGCCTTTACAAACTTAGAATATTGAGTCAACATATCTTAGTGATTATTCCAAAATTGCAAAGTATTTTGTTAACATTTTTATCTTATTACTTCAAAGTAAAGATAATTCAACCGAGAGTGTTAATTTAACTCATACGGAGAGTTAAATGAATTGCCTATATGTTGTATATTACGTCGTTATATAGAGCAGCATTCTCTATCTTTGCCACCACGCCATTGTTCGTTCTAGTGTCGTTTTGGTGCAATTTTACTGTGAAAAAACTTTGTAAGTGTGATTTTTTTAAATATTTTTTCTTTAACAATACAAAATGCCTCTAATATGTTTAATATTATTGTTTTGTAATAATTGAAGACGAAGCTAAGTTTATAGTAATATTTTCTCGCGTTACCATGCTGTGACATGTTTCATAATTAACTTTTTTAGCAATGAAATCGTTAGTAGACAAATGGGGATTTGCCAACCTAATGGATGTTTTTAAAGGTAGGTTTATTTAATTGCAATATTATTTTACCATAAAATAAACTTTATTGTAGAACAAGATATCGATGAGGAAAAGCTTTTAAATATAAACGCCGAAATTTTAAAGGACTTAATTCCGAATAGTGTTTTCAAAGAAATGAGAGGAATACAAAAATAGTTATTTATGTCAAGGCTTTTTGTGCTAAGCTCAAGGTTTGAAGGCCGACGCGTAGCGGAGGCCTACAATTGAGCGAATCACAAAAAGGCACTTCTTGGCCGAATGGCATACAACATTTTATCTTCAAAGCACTTTATATAGGTCAATTTAATTCAACATCAAAGCGGACTAACCTCACTTTTTTAGAATCTCATTTATTTATTAGCTAAAGATTACATTAAATGTACAATAATTGTTATTGCTTTTAGAAGCAGTAATAGTTTGACAATACCTAGCAACATGATTTAAGTAGAAATGGATTTTTGCATTACATTGAATTCAATTAATTGTTTAATAAATAGGTAGGTATCTAATTTCAATTTGTTTGGATTTTTATTTAAAAAATAGGTAGTTTGGAATGTTTAAGCTGTGTTTAACATTTAATTTCACTGAAAACTTAAAGCAAATTTAAACTTAAAGATAATTTAAATCGTAGAAAAAGAATCGTGCGTTTTCTTGGTTGCCTAACCTCACTTTTTGTTTTATTATTCATATTTAATTTTACAATAATTTAATGAAAAATATTAAATATTAAAAATATTAAACATTATAATGTTATAACAGTAAAATAAACAAATTAGTGCTTATTATAAATAAATTAAACCAACTGGTAGTTGTACGTAATTTCTTAGAAAAGGATTAATTTGTCAAAACAATACCCCTAGCGAGAAAAAATAGAACTAATTACTTGCCTTATAAAAATTTTTATCGGCCTAGGCCATAACAAGGTATTTCTTTATCGAATGTTGACAAAAATAAAATTTAAATTATAGACCGCGTGGAGATAATAGTTATTTATGTATTAAGGGCATAATAAGGTTTTTATGGTCCGAGGCGCTATTTCGAGCCCGAGCGCGTTAGCGCGAGGGCTAGAAAAGCGTCGTAGGACCATAAAAACCAGTTATGCCAGCAATACATACAAAACTTTATGCACGATTAATATATTATTATTTTTAATATATTATTGTTTTTAAAGACGTTTACGTCAAAGAATTTTTGTTATAATTGTCATACTATAATGTCAACTGACATCAGTCAGTTTTAAGTTTAAAGATGAATGAAATTGAGGAAGCAGCTGAAAAGGCGAAAAATTGCGGCCTGCTGCCGGTAAAATCAAAATCTTTATACGAAAAAACTTACTTCGAATATATCAAATGGTGTAACATTGTTGTTTTTAATTTTTGACGTTTCATTATAGCCCGCTGGGCCATAATAACGCCCGCGGGCTATAAAAAGACGTTTACGTCAAAGAATTTTTGTTATAATTGTCATATTATAATGTCATCGTGCATAAAAACTATTACGGTAAAGTACCTAGTGTATACATATTGAAGTATTTTAAACGTATTTAAGTAGTATACTTAATTAAACTTTTGTTTGTAGTTTAAACCAGGGTCTAAAAAAATTATGATTTTTTTTATTATAAAAATAAAGTAAAAAAAAATGATTTAAATCTATTATGTTTCATTTTGTGTTAAAATAAATTTGTATTTTTCTAATAGTTTTTTTTAAATAAATTCAATATTTTTTTAACCTTTCCAGTTAGTTACATTTACATACTTATATTTTGTTTAATTATCTAATATTTTAAATAAAACATTTTTTAAGTAACATTTTTAAATCAATATTTTAATTATTTGATTTAAGTAACAATTCATTTTTTAACCTTTAAATTTATTAATCCAAAAAATTTTAAAGATTAAACCTGCTCCCATGTTTTATATTTCACTAATAATTGTGCATTAAATTAATATTTTTAATATTTTGATTTAATGTTACGATAATATTATTTTAATAATCCGTGTATTTAATTTTAATATTTTTAGTTGTTGGGCCAAAAAAGGTTTAAATGTTAAAATAAACTTCTGAAATTTTAATTTATTAATTTTAATTTTTTAAAACAACATTTATATTTTAACATTCATTAACATTTATTTAACATTGTATATGTATTCTATTCATTTATTAGTTAATTTAATAATTTTTTTCTTTCAGTGTATATTTTTAAGATAAAATAGTTTTCTTAATGGGTTCTAATGAGAACATCATAAAACTACATTAAAACTATTTGTTCCAAAATGGATTGTTTAAAAAAGCTAATTAGTTTTTTATTTTAATTTAAAGAGTATACCTACATTAAATTATTTACATAATCAAAATCTTAATCAAAAGTATGTTACAATTGTTACTTGGGTTATCACATATAAAAATACAAATCTTAAAATAAATATTTTTAAGATCCATTATAGGAAAAAAATGGTTAGGAAAGCAATTAGGGGACGTTTATAATAAATGGGGCACTAAGCCTGTTAATATATCAGTTAATTTAGCTTTTGCTCGTATCACCACGTTGTTCGGTTCCCCCATTCTCCAGAAGTCGACAAATAAAAATCCAATTTAGCTAAACGACACAACAAGCCGAAACCTCCGCTATAAAGTCATAATAAACACATATCCGAAAAGCAACTCCCCAAATGATAACGGACCCGATCCCAGGATCCAACAAGGTCTTCAATATTATTTGGTTTGGATTGCTACTATAGTACATTAAGCTTTGCATCTCCAACAATAGGTTTCTATGGATATGTCTCCGACTGATGTTGGCAGAGCTATTAATTTAATCCAGGATGGACGGTCACAGTATTACGTGGCAAGTGTTTTAAACGTCATAAGAAGTAAAGTACAAAGGGCAACATCAGTCGGAGACATTTTTAAAAGTAAGAAGACACCTCAAAATTAACACATTAATTTACAAAAAAACAATTTGATAGCTTTTGAAAGCTGTATATGACATGTCCAAGTATGGGATGATTTAACAAAACTGTCACTGTCATTCTCTATACGCTATGGATGGACCATAGCAACCTTAGTTCTTCATACAGGAAAAATATTGGAAATTGCAATGTTTTTTAAAAAAATCCATATTTTCCACAAAAATAAATATATCGAGGTGAACCAAAAACAAAACTATTAAGAATAGATGTGACTTGATAAATAAAACTTAATTTAGAACAATATGCGCGGTTTTGCCACTCTACAGAGTGTCTTAAACTTTTTTAAAATGTGAGCGATTGTCCAAATTAATGGATCTACAATATTCTTTAATATTCGTTTAAATCCGACATCAAATAAAAAAGTTATTTGCGATTAAAATTCATCGAAAATTTGTGTGGATCGATTATTTTGCACGTGAGTGTAATTAAGACCTTAGACACAGAAAAAAATTTATGTATTGTATTATTTTCAGAATATAAGATGAAATTTACATTAAATTGAGAAACATAACCTTAATTACGACTGCATTCCTTATTTTAATGTCAGTGGGATTTTTATGCGGAACATAGTACATATTTTAATGTTTTAACAAATTTTTTATAATTTAAAAATTCAGTTATTAACAAATAGACCGAGTTTTATGGTAAATGAACTGAAAAAATCTATTTTTTATTTGAGTGTAAGCATATATTCATGGATTTAGAAAATTACATTTTTAAATATAATATATTCATACCTACTATATGTCGCAACGCGCGCGCCATCTGGTGGACTTCGATAGCATTGAGTGAATTTAAGAATTTTCAACAATACATTTAAGGCACAGATTAAATAAATAGGTAGTTTTTTCACAAAAGAGAGGAAGGCAGAAGTCTTACTCGACAAATTTTGTTCAATTGCACAGATAAATCGCGCACGTTATTTGTGTTTTACGTTTGCAAAGAAAAAACTTTTTTAGTACTCGATTTGGATTGATTATTCCTTATATCATCATACTCAACGCTTAAATGCTTATATAGTTACGTTAGTGTGTGTATTTTATCTAAGGGATCATGTTGAATTATTGTGTTTTTAATAATTATTATTAACAATTATTGTAAAAAATTTCAAGAACTAAATCGATGCATTTTCATGTTTTGCCA